TTGTAGTTGATCAGGCGGTCCTAGTTTTTAATTGTTTATCGGCGAGCAAAGAGCTATCGTTTCACGTTAATTTCATAATAATTTCAGGAATAGAAACCTCAACGCACCATTTGACCCATTCGACCCATTTTTTTCTCTTAGTGCGGCCGCCAATGTTTTCTGATCAAATTTCTTTCTGCGCGCTGATTGGCTGGTTTTTGGTGGGCTATCGAAACGAGTTCATGTATGAGACCCTGGCTAAACGAGGAAACATGTTTTCAGAAACATGTTTCCCTAAATGTTTCCTAAGGTGACAAAACTGTCAGGAAACATCGGGGAATAATGATTCCATGCGTCTTGGAAACATGAAATGTTTCTGCCGCACAGCAAAAACATTTTTTTCGTCTTGGAAACAAAATTTGTTGGACGCAGCAATGTTTCGCATGTGGCTAAACTGGGAAACATCGAGGAAACATGCGCGCGGTAAACATGTTTACTTGTTTAGCCAGGGCCTAAACTTGAAGAGTGCAAGTCTGTGTACTCTTAGAGGTCCTACTATTTTACGAGAACGCGATGTCGCGTGCACGATCACCGTCTTCGTAGCTTGACGATAAGAAATTTCGAAAGAGACTGAGGAATGGAAAAGGAAAGAATAAAAGAAAAAAATGGACCTGAAAAAAGCAGAGAGAAAAAATCAAGAAAGAAAGAAAGAGAGAAAGAAAGAGAGAAAGAAAGGAAGGAAGGAAGGAAGGAAGGAAGAAAAAAAAAGAGCAAATGGGCGAACTAGCGAAAGAACGAGCGAACGAACGAACGAACGAAAAAAAAAAAGCAACGGCAAAAAGAAAGAGCTTGACTATCAATATCTTAAAGTATCATTAGTTTAATCAAACGTTTTTAATCACGAAACAAGCGATATCTCAAATGATAATGAAAACCAATAGAGTAAAACTATTTTAAAAACATGTCTAATAAATATGTAGAGTATATCAATCATCATTAAAATATAGATGAAATATCTATTGTTTTATTTAACTCTCTAGTCTCATCCTTCTGTTGAAATGTTTTTAAATTTACGTGATGAGGAATAAGAAGAAAACCGCGATAATTGCCATAGCTAATGAGTTTAGCTATTGATCCGCGTAGCCGACGTGAAAAATAATCTCACTCTAAATAAGAATAGGTCACTGGCCTTGGAAAATTCATGAAAACTTAGACTTATGTAAGCATAAATAGAAAATACTTATAGATAAGATAGATTATTGGACTGGTTGGTTGATGCATGCATGGATGGGTGGGTAGGTGAATGGATGGATGGATGGATGGATGGATGGATGGATGGATGGATGGATGGATGGATGGATGGATGGATGGATGGATGGATGGATGGATGGATGGATGGATGGATGGATGGATGGAAGAATGGATGGATAGATGCATGGATGGATAGTTGGATGGATGGATCGGATGGTTAGATGAGTGGGTGGATGGATAGTTGGATAGTTGGATGGATGGATGAAGAGAGCATTATTTTTTCTTAACTAATTCTGCCCTGAGTTTTATTACAATAATGTTGTTAATCACTATCCATTATTCAGGACTAAATGCATGGTTGTTTTTTTTTTAAACAGCTGTCAATCTCAATCTAGCCTCTATAACAGTTCCACTAAGCTCCCCCAGAGAGATGCAATTAAGCAAAACAAGTAATCTGCTTGCAATATATAAGGCGGGGAAGTAAATTTCGTAATTTAGGAGTTAATAACTATTAATTACATTAGATATGAGTTTTCTCATTAGCGTTTTACAATATGTTCAGGCAATTAAGCAACATTCTCCTGCTGCGTTCGTTTCGTTATCTTTAATGAAAGACTGCCTTTAGATGCTAATTAAAGAAGATTAGAGCGATTTTCAATAAAGATTTTGTCATTCAAATGTGACAAAGGGTGGACTTGTTTATGATAAGGTCTTTCAATATAATTGAGAAATACTGCTAAGAATGATATAGCAGTAAATAGGAAAAGTAAAGATATGAAAAAATCCTTCACCTCAAGATTTTTTATTATTTATTTATTTTTTCATCTTATTTATATAATCCTTTTAAGGATTAAAATAAAGTCAATTTTAAGCGAAATTATTCTATGAGTCAAGAACTAAGTAGAATTAATTCACATGTGATTTTTTTAATTTTTAAATCCAATGTCATAAAAAGCTTGTATTCCAGCAGCGTTTCTCGTAGGTTCTTCAAAATGTATACCAAATTCAAGCGTGGATATTCAGCTCACCATTTTCTTTCTTTTACGGCTGGTTTAAGAGATGTGTTTTATTGCTACGCGCTGGTCGAGACAAAATCTCGACAGGGAAGTGGGGCAGAAAATGATCAAAAGATGCCAACACGTGAAGAAACTAATGCAAGACTAGACGTTTCACGTTTGCGTGCGAAATTGTAAGCGTTTGGAAGCGCAACCGTAGATAGCATGTTTTTCAGTCCTGGCGTTAAAACCCAGGTCGGTGACATCCGTAGTAAAAGTTAAGTGTCATCGGCACAAATATAGCTTTGTGTACAAGACTAAATAACCAAGATAAAAAATTTAGGGAGCACGAGGTCCGACCGGTTTTTTTTTTTGCTATATATCTTCTTTGAACAAAAATAAAACCTTTCAATGCAATGTCATGCTCTATCCGTCCATTTCTGCTCGTAAATGTAATTAATTCGCGAATTTCAAATGATTATTATATAAATATATTTTCATTCCAAGTTTTTACCTGTGTTTATGGATATAGATCCACAAGCAAAAGTTCAACCACGACGCATGAAATCCTTAATATTGTTATTTTTACAATTTCTGAAAAAATTCGCTTGAAAACATAATTATAATGTTTTGTTATCTCATGGCGTTGTTTAACTTTATTATAGACTTACAGTAAGCAACTTGTCCGCCATATTGGAACGGTCTTGTCGCAGGTAGCCCAACCAATAAAAATGATAAAAAGCGCGTACACAGAAATGATGTGAACAGACACACTATCGCATTACTACAAAATGTATAAGCTAGAGCAGAACCTTTATTACACGGCCACCATTGAGAAGTTTAAGTGATCGCCAAATAGAGGTTGAACGCTTGATAAAGGCATGAATTACTACAAAAAACCTCTTTGACAATTTGACAATAGGCTACTAAAAAGAGGTTGCCCGTCTAACAGAGAAATTTTAAAAAATACCAAAAAAAAACCTCTTTGGTGCTCGCAGTGAGAACTGGTTACTCAATAGAATTCGACGAACGAATTAATTGGAACTTACAGTATTTTTTACTAACACAGACTTATCTTTTTAAGAGAGCAACGACAAAAAAATTCTTTCAAGCTAATGGCACCGACTGTACTCATCTCAATCATAGTTAGCCAACGACCTCTCACCAGGGGAGGGGGATATGAATTTCATATTTATACAATTGACCTTTCAATAGAGATTTTCTTATACAATAGTAATAAATAATGATCTATTAGAGCGAAGGCATTTAACCCGTGAAATAAAAATCTTTAGTCAACGTATAATAGTCAAATAGACACGAAAGAARACAATGGAATTAGGTTCTACTAACGTGCAATAGTTTAATTTCACGGGTTTAATTTATTGACTTCATTCTATAGCGACATATAGTTGTACAAACTTCTTGTGTAATAATAAAGCTTGAGGCCTAAGTTAACTGGAAAGTTTTCTAGTTAACCCCGAGTCTTTTTGTTTTTAATTAATAACAGGTCCAGAAAACAAAGATTAGACAACTTTTAAATTAGAGGTCACAATCAGTATTTTTTTAACCTCTTGGCAGGGAATAGGGGAAGGAGGGGGTGAGATGTGAATTTCATATCTATACCTCATGCGGCTAAGACGTGAAATACACCAACTTTTACCAGCCAAAGTCACGATATCATGCGACCACTAATTACGTATTGCGTTTCCGATTGATATCACTGTTAATCATATTTTATAATTATGATCATACATGGCATGCTGGGACTTTACTTCCAATTATGGCGTAAACCTTGTCTGGTTCCCACATCATAATGTTTTCATATCGAACAAATAAAAAAAGCTTTAAATGAAATGTAATTGAACACTGAAACAAACTCCGAACTGATCAAAGTCAGGACAAGGCTGTGGTTTTGGTTTCTTTTGTTATGTCGTCCAACATGGCGGCCATGTCTTTTGTCCTTGTGCATGTGACGTCATGTACGCCATGTTGGTTGACTTGAACAAAAGATTTGGTCTTGGTTTCTTTTGTTATGTCAACCAACATGGCGGCCATGTCTTTTGTCCTGTGCATGTGACGTCATAGCCACCATGTTGTTTAACTTAAAAAAAGTTTGGGTCTTGGTTTCTTTTGCTATGTCATCCAACATGGCGGCCATGTCTTTTGTCCTTGTGCATGTAACGTCATAGCAGCAGTGTTGGTTGACTTGAACAAAAGATTTGTTCTTGGTTTCTTTTGTCATGCCAACCAACATGGCGGCCATGTCTTTTGTCCTGTGCATGTGACGTCATAGCCACCATGTTGTTTAACTTAAAAAAAGTTTTGGTCTTTTTCTTCTGTCTTTTTATTCTAATGTATAAGTGTGCACGCTACCAATTACGTAGTAAGACATGAAACAAGAATCCAAATAGTTTTTAAATTTTTGTTAACATTTGAATGTCAAACAAGGAAGTTTTCACTAGACCAATACTCCCCTTCACAGTTCCCTGCGCTATTTTGAAAGGTAGCCGTGCCTTTGCATCGAAGCTAGACAAACGGTGAGCTTGCACTGAAAGAGACATGTAAATATGAACTGTGACTGTGACATGTGAACTGTCCAAGGGGTTAAAAAAGGTCTTTATCATTGCAAGCTCACCGTTCGTCTCGCTTGGATAAAAAGGCAAGGCTACCTTTCAAGATGGCGCAGTAAACTACGAAGGGGACTATTGGTCAAAACCTGAAAATAAGAAATTTATTTTGATCCTTTCATTTTAAACTATAAGCTAGATTAGAACCTCGGATTGTCATTTGGAATTTTTTATTCATTTGCACACCACATTTACATAATAATTGGCTTGATCAGATTTAGATAAATCTATGAGGTTAGAAAAAACTTTTCAATAACAGTATTACTTGGTAGAGAAGGTTAGCTGCGCCAGCAAGAAAAAGGTCAGCGGATGTACACATACAATAAATCGAAAACCAAAACGAGGTTCGATCGCGTAGTTAGTCACATAGACTCGATTTCAGGCATGTAAAAATACCAAATAAATTTTTTCATCTTTTTGTAAGTAGTGAAAATGTTAGAGCTTTTTTATTATGTTTTCTACTGGATAAGTCTAGATATTTTAACAACAATTAACAAAATAATAAGTTCATAATGTTTTCATGTCTTGAAGTTCACCTGAAAGGAAAAAAATGGACACCTGTTGTTAGACGGTTTCATTTTCTCGGCGACCTACAGAGACTTTTTCCCCTCCCCAATACGCAAAAATCAAATTTGAACTGTGAGATAACCTTGCCCTGACTTAGATCAGCCCAGAGCTCGTTTCCGGGTTAAATCTGTGAGTTAACCGTGTCCTGACTTAGATCAGCCCAGAGGTTTTTCTACAGGGCTCAATCAGCTGTGGGTCAGCGTGTCCTAACTTAGATCAACCTAAAGGTTGTTTCAGGGTTAAATCTGGGAGTTAGCCATGCCCTAACTTAGATCAACTCAGAGTTTGTTATAGAGTTTGATCTATGAGTTAACCATACCCGGACTTAGATCAGCCCAGAGGTTTTTTCAGGGTTCGATCTGCGAGTTAGCCATACCCTGACTTAGATCAGACCAGAGGTTGTTACAGGGTTTGATCTGCGAGTTACCCGTACCCTGACTTAAATCAGCACAGAGGTTGTTTCAGGGTTTGATCTGTGAGTTAGCCATACCCTGACTTAAATCAGCCCAGAGGTTGTTTCGGGGTTTGATTCAAATATCTCACCTAGTAAGTTTTAGCATAGCCCACAGGAAGCTCTGCAGTTGACCATCATTTTCTTGCCAGTGCAGCCCTTCCCGAACCACCGTAGCAACTGACACTTCCCCGCTGACAGTCTATTACCGCAGGCTCTCTTGCCGCCTTCTACGTCGCCGATGACTTTGTCGGAATTCATTAATTCGTCTTCCTGCTTTAGCTTGTCGAGCTCAGTTTCAACTTTTCTTTTCATTTCCTCTTCTCGTTTCTTTTTTACTTCCATTTCTCGTTTTTCTTGTTCTTGGTGCTGGAGAGAGGATTCCAGTCCTGTGAGAAAAATAAAGTAGCGAGAGACTGGTAAGGTACTCTATTATTTAAAACTTCCGTTCCGCATTGGTTCGTTAAACAATATAAGTTAATTACAGCACTTATGATAGGACACTTGCATTAGGACGTAACCTACACATTAAAACACTTTTGTTCTGTTTATTCGCACCAATGGACGACCGGAATGATACGGCGGCCATCTTTGACCACAAGATATTATAGGGCGTCCAAGAGCAATTAAAACTTTTTCGCATTAATGACATCGATTGATATTAGAATGCTCGCCCTAAACCCGTGAAACAAATACTAATTTTTAGTATTAAATAGTGACAATCAAACAATAGGAAACAAAGGATTCTGTATGAATTACTACTAATTAGTACTAAATATTATTCACGGGGTTTAGTGCGTGCACTCTAACAACTCACCACAAGAGAATACAACAAGAGATGACTCAAGATTGCACACACAGCATTGACCTTTACCCATAAAAGATAGAAACAAACGAAAATATTTATATTTTCCATCATCTTTATTTTGTTTTGACCCCTGGCAAGATGACCGCCGTATCGTCCAAGTAGTCCATTGTCTTCCTACGCTCATGAGGGAATACCAATTTCAATAAGTGAGAAAGAAAATTCGCAAATCATTAGTAGTAGTAGTATTAAGATGAGGCCATCATGCAGACGGCCTATTTTTGGAGTATAGTCACATGACTTAAAATCCCTTGAGATATAAATTCGCTGTATTGGCTGATCTAGCAAGTGAAGATGGTCAACCAAAATGGCGGCTGTAACGTATCATCGTCCCAAGATTATATTTGGTTACCTTGGGCGTAATTTTTTCCCAACATCAATATAATATTATTATGATATTTCTATAATATTATTCTATTGTTATTATAATATTATAAGATTATTGTTATAAGATTATTATTCTATTATTGTTATAACAGTATTATAATATCAATAATTTTATTATTCTTCGAGACTAATTTATTTAAGAAATTCCAAGATTAAACTTTGTTACAGTCCTTTTATCAGATAAGGGACCCTAAGGTAGATAAGAGCTAAGAAAATATCAATCTAAACTCTATTTAACACCACATCGTGGTATTCTTTATCGTGACAAACCAAGTGGAGTTATCAAGATTAACACAAGTCGGTTCTAGGACTCTAAATACTTGATACAATATATGAAAAAATATATTGAACTTGCGGAATGATATTTAAGTTCTCGTAACCACATGTTGAGATTTTGGAACGGCTAATATATGAATGTTCATACAAAATGCAGATATTTTCAAATACAATATATGGTTGTAGTGACCAATGGCTGACATTAATGCTAAATATTTCTTCCATTAAATGAAATAAGATTGAAGATTAGTATACTCGACGTTTCGACGCCCTTCGGCGTCATTTTCAAGAGTGAAAGTAAAGCAAACTTTATGCATTCAAATTATTACTTTGCTTTACTTTCACTCTTGAAAATGACGCCGAAGGGCGTCGAAACGTCGAGTATACCAGTCTTCAATTTTATTCTAAATACTTCAAGAAAAAAACACCTTAATGAAATTCATTAATCAAAGATTAAACAAAGAAGCAAAAAATAAAGGAAAAGACGGGAAATAGAAGGAAACAGTAAGTATTAAAAGTAGCAGAAATAGAAGAAAGAATAGGAAATATTATAACAAGAAATAGAAAAAAAAAATTAAAAAAATTCAATAACAAAAATAAATGTCATAGTTTCCACAACTTTATAAACTACGCATTTCACCAATCCATTTTTTATATCATTTTCAAATATCAGAGACCCGAAACAAAACAGGACATTATTTATGACCGAAAATAGACTAACATTTAAGATAATTTTACCTCTTTTATGGCATCAAATGACCAAGTAATTCTATCCAAATTAATCAACCAAAACACTGCTCCATCAACGTCTCAATTTATATATTTTTAAATCAGTTTCAATCAGTCCAAAAACTTTCTTTATTGAAGTAAATTTTAACCACGCTCTTCATAAACAGTTTTAACACGTTTCAATCCCACGCGCTACGAGTAATTGGAAAGCGTTTCTCACATCATGCAGCAACCACAACTACGGTAAGTGGGTCAATTTTTGGCAATAACGTTTTAATGAAATGTTAGATGAAACCAAAAAAGGAAAATGTGGAATTTTGGAAGGGAATACTTCCTATTAATATAAATCAGATATAATGACAAAACTGTGAATTTGATGAATTAAGAAAAGTTAATTTAATGAGTACAGATGGTTAATTAGTGTGGAAAATTGAAGATGGCTTAATTTCAGTGATTGTTAATATTAATTTCATTTTGAGTGTTTATTTCGAGAACGATATCCCAAAAAAAAAAAAAAAAAAACATTAAAGATTGAGGGACTGACACGGAAAGAGGCGCTAGAAAATAGAGCAGGCTTGTCAAGTGAATGGAAGGAAGGAATGGAGGAAGAAAAGAAAGTAAGAAACTGAAATAAAGAATGAATAAGAATTCATCAAAGAGAAAGAGGCAATGAATGAATGAACTAATGAAGAAGGAATCCCAGCACTACACGAAGTATGGAAGGAACTTAAGGGGAAAAATAATGAACGGACACTATAGGAAAATAGAGAAAGACAATATTAACAACGAGAAAGAAAGAGAAAAAGTAAGAGAGAGTAAAAAAAAAACTTATAAAAGAAGAAAAAGCTAAGAAGGCGACATTTACGGTAAATTGACCACATTCTCAAACTCTGTTTGACTCTTCCTGTCAAAGGAAGTTGTGGCTATTCTTAATCATAGATTTATCGTTAACAGAAGGCAGAAGTCAAAAATTATCTTCAAATTTTCCTCCCTCCTGTAGCTATGCCCCGTGTGAAATTTATCATTCATTATTGATAGAATATCTTCTTGTATAAATTACTTCTTCTTATGTTTATATGTATAGGCGTATCAGAGGAGTAAAATCGCATGTGTGGTAGAAGCGATACTTGGAAGTACCTTTTAGATTGAGGGGGGAGGTGAGAGGAGATTTAGGAAGCTTACTGTTAAACTCCCCAAACCCCCGGGTATGTGTTAGTCTTACCTTCGATAAACTTGAGTAAAGCTTTCTTTTTCTCCGCGAAACTTTCGTTTTCTTTTTCTTGGAATGAAACTTGCACCAAAATAATACAAACAAACAGAACAAGGAGAACTTGCGTTGATGTCATCTTTTTACACGTGGCTGAGAGAGAGAGAGAGGGAAAAAATTGGTTTAATTGAAAAACATGTTGCACGACTCGTATGGAAGAAACTAGTATTGTTAAAAACCTTTATCGATATACCTTGAAACAACCTCTTGGCTGATCTAATGCAGGGCACGGCTAGCTTACAGATTGAACCCTCAAACAACCTCTGGGCTGATCAAAGTCAGGGCACGGCTAACTCACAGATTCAACCCTGAAACAGCCTCTGTGCTGATCTAAGAGAGGGCACGGCGAGTAAGTTTAAACTCATTTGTTTCATACAAATTAAGACATACAAACACGCGATTTCGAGTGCAGGAATAGAATGTACCTTGTATACCAGATATTATACTAAGATTAGATTGAAAAACTTGGTCATTTGTTTTATACAAATCAAGATATTTATAAAGACATCAAAAATAAATTGTTTCATAAAATCCACTTATAATCCATATCAAGCAATATTTATTTAGCGTTGTTTGCAAACATGAATAATGATTCGAATAATTTATAGTTTTGAAAACCCAAAGAAGAAGAAAATGTGTTTCAATGGCACGTGCCTATGGAATGTCATGGAAACGCCTTGTTTGACGTCCTACATGGACGTCGCTACGGCAAATTGTACGATTTTAATCAAGAATATTAAATCATCCAGCTAACATTTTTTGGTTTTATTTCAGCGGATTTTGAGTACATTTGGACCCGGAAGTACGTCACATCTCAAGCTCTATACTTTGATCGAAAACAGCCCAAGATATTCAAATTGCTTTCCTCTGATATCCTAATAATATCTATTCCTAAGTGTCAAATGTTATAATATCGAGGCATTAGGCTATCAATATCAAGGGAAATTCGGCGTGGCTTTACGATATCAGCTCACAACTGAAAACTCATATTAAAATAAAAATCAACGTTTTTGAAGTTTTTGAATATAATATATTTCCATATGAGGGAAATGCATCTTACTTAGTGTTTTAAACCGTGCTAATGGTAATAAGACTAGCAAAAATAGAATTAATTTTTCTTAGAACCCGGCAACACCGGCTAAACGTTTTCATTCGTAAACGCATATTTTTGTAAACGAATCCTGTCCGTCCACACGTAAACGGTCATCGTTTACGAATTGCTTTCAGCAGTCCACACCTATCCACTTTGAAGCGCGTTTTCAAAAGCATGCTTTTACGATGCGCGTTTTTATCGTTTACGTGTGGACGGAAGGGCTAAACGCATCAAAAAGTATGCGTTTACGAATGAAAACGTGTACGCGTGCACGGTGTATTAGATATTCAATAAGACCAACGTAAACCAATTTTGCCTTACCATATGAGCCTAAAACAGTTAATGACAAGAATTCATCACATTATTATTATTTTCTCAAGTCTTAGAAAATCATTTTTGAGATCAGTCTAAAAATTCAACCATATTACCAAATAAACTAAGCGATTTTATGTGTGGTTCCAAAAATGCAGAATACAATCTAGACAATCTGTGATATTAGATATTTTATATATACATAATGAAATTCAAATTATTAAACTCATAAACATGCATAGCGGTCATTTTGATTTTCGTTCACATCAAAGGATTATTCTTGAACGCTCTCAAAATTGAAAAGCTTTTCTTCAAGCAGATATGAGATATGACATGAGTGCGCAAACATGTAAGATTTGAATTAAGAGAAAATCTACGGATAGAAAATTAATATTTTTTAATGATCCCCTGCTAGCTTTTTTATCTAGACTAAAAATTCCATTGGCAAGAATATTTAGCGCTTGATATTAGACTAGGATGTTAAGATCTTTGTTCCGGGATTTTTATAAATCTAATGTTAGTAAAAACATCCACTGCATGACAATATCCGATCAAAGATAAATCCATTATGATATTTGCCAAAATAGTTACAATAGTGTTACCGAAAACAGGATTGTGCCAAGCCAAAAAATACTTCTCAAAAGTCTAGTCAATGGCAAAATATTTCAAAACTAAAGCAAATGGGTTTGACATTTTGTCTTAAAATTAAAATATAATACATTTTTTCAAATAGCTGTATTGATTTTGTGTAATAGATTTTGAACTCATTAAGAGGCAAAAGACTTTAGTAAATTGCATTCAAAATGTTGGACGATTTGCTTAAAGTTATAAAAATGGTCTCCAGCTTACCTGAAAATTTTTCAAAAGTAGATTTTGAACGTTTGAAGCCTCGCACTGTTGAACTGGAATGAAAGTGTGCTGCAGTGAAGGTTGATTAATTTATATCTTTTGGCTTGACGTGATACGATCTTTGAGCGCATGTGCAGTAGGCATCATGTCGGTGAGTGGGAAGGGAAAATGCATGAGAGACCGTATACAAATATTGGAATTTGAAAAATACCTTTAAAATAATGTAGTTTTTCCCCTCATTCTCGTATTCTTGTTTGCCTAACGACGCCTTTGTTTACATCTTCTTTAAAAAATTTGTTGTTTAACTTGCAAAAATTTTCCCTCATACAAAGCTGTTTCCATCTTACTCAAATTTACCACTTCAATCAGCAAGCCTCTACGAACTGTAAAGTTAAATCTCAAAAAAATACTTAAAATATTAAAACGTTCGTGCTTAATTATCCATGGAAAAAAAAAGCTTTTTTCCCCCTTAAAGTAAAATTTATTATAATTTTTCAAAGCGTTCAGTTTTTTTCAGTGATAAAAGTTCAAACTTCGAAATAAATTTTTCATGATGTTGTTGGTAGATGTCTTATCACATGACAGGCAAAAAAGGAAAGAATGAGCTAATTGCTGAGATTATGAGCAAAAAACAATCCATCTTATTTCTTTAAATACCTGAGTAATCCAAGTATAAGGTTTATTTAGGAATATTTTAGGGATATTCACTTAAAATGAGTTGAATTGATTAAACTTTTGATGCCATTTATTTGTCTCATTTTCAGGCATTAGCCACAAAAACCACCGTATACGAATGCATAAAGTGACATATAACTCACTCAGAGTTCTATCAATTTCAATTTACTACAGGTGAGTTAAGTTGCACAGTCACTGCGTGGAAGCCACAACTGTAGGACAAACGCAATCCACCGTTTTATTTATTGAAAAATATACTCCCACTCCTTTGGAGACACGCGTAAATCCGGTGAAAAAATGACAGCTCTTGAGGCGAATTCAGTATTGCTCGAGTCTGCCTTGGAGCAGAGCTATCTCAGTCAAATTCCTTGTCATTTCTATCTTTTGATGGAGTAATAAAGCGCTATAAAAGATCTAGATACGAGGATTTCGGGGTGATTTTAAGAGAAAAACAAAAGGGTACGATAATTTTCTATTCACCTGGTAAGACGTCGTGTCAAAATCTCGAAAACTGAAATCATTTTAAAAATAGAATTTAGAAGGACAAATTCAACAGCTTCCTTTCAAAATTAGTATATTTTCCAATGATTTTTTTGAGATCATCAACAACTTCATTTGAGTTGAAGTACGAGAATTTTTTTTCATTAGTATTAACAAGTGCTTCTTTACGAGCAGTTGACAAGCTCTCTTGATCAACCACTTATTAAATTTACAAACATATTGAGCCTGTAAAATCCATTTGACTCTAAAAAAAGACTGAACTGCTCTATCAAATACAACTCACTCGTTTCTTAATAGCCGGATTTGGTTATTAAATTTTGTAAAACAAACAGCGAAAATCGCATTATTAGTCACGGAAATGCCTTTCCAAAACTGGCGATTTATCCCTTAATCATTGGTCTCTTGTTTGTTAAACTTCAAACCTACAAAATTACATTTCTCTTTTACTTTATTGCCATTTTCTGTAGCCTAAAAAAAAGTTAAAAATTTTTTGATGCTTTTTTTTTTACCTGAATTTTCATTTGCACAGAAACCATTTCAGTGTGGCCACAAAAGTTTCCCGCCTTTTTATGATTTATAGTTTCTTGTTACTTGACCTTTTCTATGCTCTTTCATTTTTAAAGTTAATGTAATTAGAGCTTTACTTTGTTACCTAAAGCTATGGACATTTTCCAGCTTCTTTTCCAGATTTTGACTTTAATTTAGACTTTTCGGCAACCATTTCAATGCAACTATGTTCTATAGAAGTAAAAAATAATTTTACTTTGGAAGAGAAATGAAATATCATTTCTGCAAAGAGGAATATTGAATTTAAAACTGAAAAATATTTATAAACTAGACCAAGATTTAAAAAATTTTAAAAAGAGGTTCAATTCTTATTTCTTCGATAACTTAATTATTCACAGAAAAACTGGATGTAAAACTGAAATTGTCAAGCCCGAGAGAAAAGGACAAATATATTTTTATTTTAGGCTTAAGAGAACAACGAATGAATAGTACTTGTGCAAATCTGTTTTTTAAATGAAGCTACGAAACTTTTGAAAAAGCCAAAAAATGAAGGTTTAATGCGAATTCTAAAATTGATCTTTAAATTAGAAGAGTTATAAACTAGGAAGTATATTCGTTACGAAATATTTTCAGCCGTGTACAAGAAGTATTAGTAATTAAAAAAATGCTTGATAAAATCACATTTTGCTTCACAGAAAAGCTAAACTAATGTAACTATTAATTGTTTGTTGTTTTTTTTTCTTCCTTCAATTTGAGCTGAAAAATTTATTATATATACATATATATATATATATATATATCGATCTTGTGATTAAATTGCTGAAATTTTAGTTAAATTTAAATCATTACTGATTTGTCACGTGCTGCTTTTAGGACCTTTTAGGGTTTCGCGACTTTCCCACTTCAGGAGTTCGATGTTTAGCTCTTCCAACGAGCTGTCAATCAAATATTACGAACACAAAGCATTGAAAATCTAAAACAAGGGAAGAAAGACACTTGACAAATCTAATGCTTGTAAAATATTTTATTTTATAATCAATCTTATTATAGTTCTACAATATAAACTTTTCCATATTATTATCTGTGTTAAATACTTTATATTATAATTCTAAATCCGTCTTGTCCATCTTGAAGCTCAGATCCTTCTACCACTTGAGTATTTAATCTAAGTACCTGCCAGAGAGAATAAAAGAATTTGGATGAGTTTTAAATTGATATCCGCTAGTCCAAGCTGTTGATTGCTGAACGTCTAGCGACTCTCATTTAACGTCTATTGATCGCAGAAGACAACTCAATATAGAGTGAATTGGCGCCATGTTTTGGTACATTAACGGTGACATTTGACGATGGGCAAATTAGTCGTGGGAATTTCTACTTTTGTATTGTACGGTATATTTTTTTCTCTAATTTTAAAACGAGAGAGACTTCTTAATTCAGCACAAGTTTGAAACCTTTCTTTTAAGCTAAGAATAAATGAAACAAGCCTTACCAATTATGAGAGATGAGAGCTCTACAGGGTCATAGCCGTTAGGGCTGTGCAGTTCCTTCACACACACACGGGCAGAAGAAGTTCCGATATGCTGTGAAATAAAAGAAATCAATTCTAGTTACTAAAGTCGCATTTGATTTATTTAAAAAGATAAATCTTTCGCTATTATTACAACGAAATATCTTGTATTTTTCTAAGATAGTTTTGTATCTAAAATAGAAAGACAAACCCCCTGGCGTTTAGACACCGCGCGGAAATCAAGCTGAACGCAGCCGTGCAACAAAGACTTGCGCCAATAAAACATGAGATTTTATATCTTATTTTATGCTAGTACGAAAGAGCTACATATTTCTCTAAGTATGGAATAATCGATGCTAACTGTATAATTCTCCAGGTATATAGACTTTACGACTTTTGCTTACGGCAAAGTTGTATCACAAGAAAGGCGAAAAGATATGACAATTGCTCAAAAACATTTCAACAAAACACATTAGAATTTATAATCAAATCATTGTTTTGAGTACCAATTCTACGCTTCAAAACCTATGACGTTATTTTTGTTTTCCAAACAAGACTATTTGCCAAAACTAATTTTTTATGAACTTTTTTTTTTTTTGCCGCATTTAATCTTAAGGAATATTTGAAAGTAATGGCGCCTGAGGCGACAGCTTCCCAAAAGCATTCGTTGTATAGCGAGGCAGTTTTTTTTTCCTGATTGAATTTCTTTGAAAACTATAGGAAATCAAGCCAAGCTGATCTCGTAAAATATTGATTTCAAATGATACATCCTATTAACCAATATTGCTGTCTGCAAAACATGAAAAATAATTCTAAACGAGATTTTACGTGCGGCTCTCTTGATGTCGTTGGAAAGATTTTGAAGCTCTTGAGGAACTGGGAGTTTTGTTATTCTTTATAGTTATTTTATTTAACATAACTGAGCTATTGCCATTACTATGTCATCTATGTTGATCGCTTATGAAACAAAGCAACTTGACAAAAGCCATTGCGAGCAATGGTTGGAAAATCACAATGCCAATGTTTGTAAATAGCAGCTAGCGCCAAGGGCGTTTTCACTCACGTAACAAGGAAGCCATATTGGTGTACCAAACAATAGAAACTTTCTGCACGGTTTTTGCTTGAGAATACAGTTCAATGCCCGAAGGATAGAAAAGTTATTATTTTGTTACACCAAGATGGTCGCTATGATGTCAAGTGAAAACGCTCTATACTTTAGGCAGCGTATACCGTGTTACATTTTTCTTTTTCTCCCTTTCTTTCTCGTTTTCATTGCTCATTTTATTTTATTTTTGATCGTTGTTCACATTCTTCCTTGAATCTTCCATTTTGCAATAGCTTCATACTTGATATATTATACTACCACCGTCTTTCCCCTCTCAAAACCAAATGCAAACACACGAAGTACCTCCCTCTCAGATTCATCCCCAGCTTACCTCGACCCAGGCAGCGATGCTGTTGTAGTCTGGCATCATTGCTCCAACGCCTGTGTTGTGACCAGGAGTAACGATGACTGTAGGAGTAACGATGACTGTAGGAGGACCGTTAGCAAACTGCTTGTCGAAAGTCATCATCTATTCAACACAAAGAAATGAATGTCAGTGGACCAATTTCAAAATTGACAAATGCCCAATAAGTACAGGTCGCGAAAGAGAGGTTGGTCGCTTAATGAGTGTCCGCTTTACAAAGGTTATACTGCATCGCAATATGTTTTTACCTTACAGAAGGCATGATTATCGCTAGCAAGAGGAAGATAATCGTTTTTGAAGGACAACTTGTGTCTTTCTGATGACAGAGTGGATGGAAGAGTGTCGTATGCAAACCAGTCCTAAATGAAAAACAATAGAGATCCCAAATTTTATTAGAAAATATTTAACTTTTGATTTGAGCACATGTAATTTACAGAGTCAAATAATAAAAGCATTTCGTAGTTTGCGGTCACGAAAAATGAATATATATATACTTTGTAACTATGAAAATATACACCTCAGGGCTGATATAAGTCAGGACATGGCTAACTCACAGGTCAAACCCTGAAACAACCTCTGGGCTGATCTAAGTCAGGACATGGCTAACTCACAGGTCAAACCCTGAAAAACTCATGGTCTGATCTAAGTCAGGGCACGGCTTCCTCGCAGATCGAAATGGACATTAGTTTGTTGGGTTTCGAGCTAGGAAAGAGAACCTGGAAAACCCCTCCTCACTCAATGGGGAGGCCAGGGGGAGACCTAACCAACTATACTCACATGTGATACCAAGTCATGGGATCAAACCCAAGGTCCCAGAATGGAGTCCTGGGTACTACAAGATCAACCTTGATTCCCCACCTAACACTAATCATAAGTACCAACGATCTCTACATACCACTTTTATGTCCTTATGGAGTCCAAAGTTTTGCAGTTCACGAAGACAAATCTTGAACGACGAGGTCGTGATGTCTTCAACCCATGCGGTAGCTGCGTCGTGCTTCCGGTCTAGGACTCCATGTAGCGCCGACACCACAACGTAAGGATTCGAAGTAAACTTGTTCTAGAAAAATAAACATTTTGGCATAGTATTCATGGAAACTCATGTTACAAGACACATTCTTACCACTGTTGATTGCTGGTTCCCGCTGATCGAGACTACAGTCGTGACAGAGAAATTGGGCAATACACTTCCGTCAATCAAATAAATTGGTCGGTACCTTTATATTCATTGATTGGCGGCAGTGTATTGCACTGTTTCTGTTTCTTTTTTTCACTGTTACGACATGACAGTTGTCTGGATCAGCGCGTAGCAGTGAAAAGAGTGGTAACTCAATTTTTTTGGTGGATAAAAATGCGTCATAAAAAATTGATAGAAGACAATTTTAGCTTGGTCGTTTCATTAATTATTTTCAATCTAATTAATTCCAATGGGAAAATATTACACGCAAATGAATAAGGTAAAGTCTCTACTTACTGAAGGAAGGCTAACAGCTGTGCAGGTCGTTCCATCCCACCAGTTGTTCAGCGTTTCCTCACCAGCAACAGCGCCAGCAGGAGACCCTTGGTATGCAATAAAGTCAACAAAAGTGTCTCCATTGTCGGGTGTATCCCGGTCATTTCTGCCAGCCTTAAGCGCGCACACAGTAAAGTTACTGATATTTATTTCCTCGGTCCAGACAACAGCAGCATCATGAATAAAGCTTGCGTTAGCACCGGAGCTGAAGTAGTTGACACTCGCCTGTACGTGGACTTTATAGTTTGGAAGGAAGTTCTGTGTGGTGTAGGCGATGGTCCTACACTGGACATCAGTAGTATCCAGTGTGAGGCGGACGCGTCCACGATGTAGAATGAAAGCTAAAAGAAAAAGGTTAATATTTCATAACGAAGGTGGGAAACTATATTTGAGAATGAGTAAAGTTTCAATATTAATCGAAAATGGTTTCCACATAATCTGGTTGAGTATTCCTATTGGCCAATTCTATGAATCCCGCAAAGTCTTATTTTCCGCGTTTGTTGTCGAATTTATTCTTTCCATTTTTTGTAACGATACTGGAAATAATAAATTTGACGTCAAATGAATTCATTAAATGGGTATAAAGATATTTTATCCGACCAAAGGAAGGAAAAACCAGAGAACCCAAGGAAAGATAGACCAACATGTGATGCTGAGTACAGGAATCTAACCTGATATCCTAGAGGTGGGAAGCGAGTGCATTACCACTGCACCACCCTTGGTTCACTAATGTATGTGATGTTGAGTCCAGGAATCTCACCCGAGATCCCAGAGGTGAGAGGTGAGTGCACTACCACTACACCACCCTTGATTCACTTATGTATGTGATGTTGAGTCCAGGAATCTCACCCGAGATCCCAGAGGTGAGAGGTGAGTGCACTACCACTACGCCACCCTTGATTCACTTATGTATGTAATGTTGAGTCCAGGAATTAAACCTGGGACCCCACAGAGGTGAGAGGCAAGTGCAACTGATTTTTCACCCCAAAGTGTTTCGTATAACACGCTATCCGATAAAAGCGCTTGACTTTAAAAATGAAATGGTTGTAGCGTACTACGCCTTGAGAAATTTGTTAGCAAAAGTTCCTCAAATTTTAGCCTGCTCAATCACTCCAACACGATAAAAATCTCTAATTTTAAGTTATTTTATAGGATACTTACGAAAGCAGGGTCCTTCGTGCACTACAGTAATAATTTTTCGCTGGTTGCACATAGCTTGCTCTAGCTTGCACTGATTTTGGTAGGTCACACCATCGTCACCACATTTCTGGTCTTCAAAGTCGTCGCAATTTTCTGGGCAGATACATCGGGCATCTTTAGGTCCAAAGGCTTTGCATTTAGCATAGAAATCACAACTTACACCGATACATGGATCAAGATCTGCAAAGAGAAAAAGTCATCTTGGTCACTACAAAAAAGTGCGAATACCCGTATGCATAAAGCTTTATTAATTAAGAACACCCTTAGTATTGTTTTAGTAGAATGGTCTGTAGAGGCTTTGCACCATAACGTGATGACAGAAGACACAAAAACAAATGAAGTGGTAGCGAAAGTGGAGTGTGTCGTATACTTCAGCATCAGAATATTCACAAATACCAACGTCAAAGTAAATGCACAACTTCATTACAAACACCTTGGATCTTTATAACACGTGAATATTGTACACACAAAATCGAGCTCAACCCTGAGCGACGGAGAACTCGTAACTGGAGAAATACTTGCCTCCAATGGCTAGGTACTCGATGTTAACAGCATCATGATGGCCATCGAAAGGTTGGATGTCCTTCATGCAGACGGTGAAGCCACTGACAGTTACACCTTCGATCCATTCAGTTATAGCATTGTTGTCTGGTAGGATAGCTTTTGGGTTATTACTGTCTGTGTTGTGAAGAGCGGTTGTGATCATAACAGGCGTGGCGTAGAAACCATCATCAAACGTTATATCCTGTAAAAACACAATTCAGTAAATTAGACTGAACTAGAACTTTAGTGGAAAATTAAAGTTTAACTTCATGAACATTCTGGCGAGATAGGAAATGACATCTGGTGAAATTAATCAATAATATTTTTGACTGTTACTAAAAATAGCTAGATATATCTCAAAGCCTTGTGGGATCGAAATGCGGACAAACATTGCATACAAAGGCTTCGATTAAATGGAAAACAAGAAGAATATCAGTCGAAAAACCATACGTCATTGTTGCAGCATGTAACTACGCAGACTTGCGTCATCCGTGGAAAACGCTGTCCAACCGACCCTAGACTTTATTCTTTTTTTTTTTTTTTTT